TGGGGGAGAGGGAAGGACAAGTCAAGTCAGGCCACCCAGGGGTGGGGTCCAGGCCTGCTGCTGTCCCTCCCTAGAATTCTGGGGAGGGGGAGATGGCCTGACTCTAACCCCTGCCTTGGGTAGTAGCCCTTAGCCCTGTGTTCAAATGCTTGGTGGAGGACAGTCCAGATGACCTCTCGATTCCGCGACTTCCTGGCCTGAGAAAGCTGATATGCCCTCCGCGAGCCCAGTCAGCCTGTTCTCACCAACTGGAGGCTCCTGTGCACGCAGCGGGCATTCAGTAAATAGTTGCGGCATGAGTGAATGGGCTCAATTGGGACCCCAAGAGCCCAGCAAGCCCCAGAGTCCGCTGCCAAGTTCAGCCAAGGGCAGCCAGGCACACAGAGGCATGGCAGGGGGAGGGCGAGGCCCCCATCCTCAGGAAAGGTCGGTGGCGTTTTCGGGGCTCTTCCCTGGCAGGCCAGCCAAAGGGAGGACAGACCTGTGGCCCTTCCCTCAAGGTGGGGACAGCGCTCACCCTGTTGCAGCTGGGACTTCCTCTTTTCCATCCTTTTCCTCCCCGCCCCCTCTTGATTGACACCAGTGCTGGCTCCGACATCATTTAAAAATAGATATTAAGACATGGAAGTTTAATTTTTAATGCTTTGGAAAGGAAGTGAACACAGAGCTGGCATTCCCTCACAGCCACGTCATGGGGTCTCAGAGCACCAGCCCCCTCTCCCCACGCAGAGCCCTGCCTGACCCACCCAGAAGGCCTACTTGCCGGGGCGCTCTGGGGAAACAGCCCGATGCCTCACGCCCGAGCATTTCGGGAAGCCTCCAACTCTTGTTGCCCAGCTCGGCCAGTCTCCTGCTTGGAGAGGCCACGTCCCAGACCCATTTAGACCCTGTTCAGACCCCTCAGCCTGCTTACCACTTCCATTCCCTGACAGAAAGTATCCCACAGGCTCAGTAGGACACCCAGGCCATCCAGCTCTGCTCCTGGGCCACACGGAGCAGCGGGGAGCCAGGGAGCCCACAGAGGAACTCACGATGCAGCCACGCCAGTAGCGAACGTAAGCCTCCCTTGTGGCTAGACCGCCTTAACCAAGTGGCCACCACCGAGAGAGCAAGTGAACAGCCTATGAGGGGCCGAGCCGCAAAGGCCTGACCCCACTTAGGGGAGGTTAATCAGGGCGTCCACCCAGCACCCTAGGCGCGGCAGCCCTGCCCCAACCTTTCCCCTGTTCCAGCAGACACACTGAACACTGCCTCCTAGGCTAACTGGCCTTTATTAAGAAAGCAATCCACAAGGAATAGACTTTCCAATGGAGCCGGAATGTCACTGTTCTGCCAGCCCTGATTTGAAGTGATGGGACAGCTCTGCTGGCAACCATGAAAAGTGACCATTATCCCGAGTGGCAATTATGCCAGCAACCCCAGGCCCGCCCCTGGCCCCTCCATGTCAGATAAGAGCTGGATTTGGGTTGGGAGGAGCTGGGCTGGGATCACAATCTGCTGTGTGGAGAAGGTGGACACAGGCCCCCAGCACCCAAAGCCCACCCCTGCGCTCTCTCTCTGCCCTGTCCAGGGTTTAAAGCTCTGAGTCTCCTTTGCCCTCCTGGAGAGGTTCCGATTCACTCCACCTCTCTCTAGAGAAATCCCCCAGATGGCCCTGGGAGGACCCAGGGATGGAGCTGATGGAGGGAACCGCCCCGGGGTTTTCCACTGCTGGGGGAACACCCTGGGGTGTGGGTTTGACTGCTGGTATACAGGCCCCTCAGGGGGCTGCCCCCAACAGGCAGGTGCCCAGCAGCTGGTAAGTCACCTGTCTTTTTCTTGGTAAGGAGGAGAAGCGCTGGCCGCATAGCCCCGCCTCCCACCGGCCCCTGGTGATGTCACCCGGGCCCTCAGTAACGCAGAACCCTAGAAGCTCCGCCCAGTGGCCAGGACCCAGGATTCTCCCGCCCGTGAGGGGGTGCAGGGTGACAGCTGCACCTCTCCTGGGCCCTGGGAATCCTCCCAGCAGGCTCCGAGGAGGCAGGGGGGTGTGGCAGCAGTGGTGGCTTTGGAGAAATACCAGGTAGGCTCCAGGATCTATAGGAAGATCTCTATTGATTGTGGGCCTCAGGTTCAACTCTAATGCCTCGGAAAAGCCTCCTTGGGGGATCTGAGCCATGAGACTAGAAAAAGTGATCGCTACTTAAGTCCTAACAATTGCTCTGGGTCCCAGAGGGCTTGGGCTCTGACCAGCCCTGCATCCCTCCTCACCCCGACCCTCTCACTCCCCTCCAGTCTTCATGTGTGCACTGGAAAGAAAAACAATTGGCCCAGTGGTCCTGCCTCATCACCCACCCCACCTGCCCTTGGCCTAGACACCTTCACCCTTTTGCTTTGGCTCTTCCCTCTGCTCCCTCACTCATATCAGGCCCAGCACCTGCCTGCAGGACATCTTCATTCAAGTAAAGCGCAGTGACCTGCCCTGTGCCCGAATCCTGGCTAACTCCCCGCTACGTCCTTCCACCTCCCAGGGAACACAACAGCAGGCCCTCTTACACGTGCAAGCCTCCATTGCTCTTCTGCTAAATTTCCACCTTTCCTACTTCATCATCTCACGAGTGACTAGCATAAAAGAACTGGGTCTTTGAGATCCAATGTCTCCCAGCTCGTAGCATGTCACGGGAATTCTGAAAATACTAAGTGATCAGAAAAGTCAAAGATTTGGAGAGAGAGACTCCTTGCCTGGTAAAAGAGTGGTGGTAGGTAGCTCCTAATTAGGAAGAGACAGCAAGGTCTCTCGCTGTAACCAAAAAAAGAAAGCCACTCCATCAATCAGCTCATTAACTTCTGCCAAGCTCTTAAGGGAAGATGAAAAGAGTTGCTTGTCACCCCACAGCTAAGTTGCTAGGAGAGCCTTCGACACAGGCAAGTTTGAGAACTAACTTCTCTTCCCTATCGAGCGGGACTCGGGAATCCCTACCACACAATGAGATGTGGATTTACCACTCTGGCCATCCATTCATTCACTCAAAAACTTATAATGAGTGCCTCCAACGTGCAGGGCACCGACCCCTGGGCCATGTATGGGGGTGCGGGGATGGAAACTAAGTAGGAACTGAGCTGGAAAAGGAAGGAGCCACAAGCAGCTATACCTACTCTGGCCAGCAGGCGGCGGGGTGGGGGTGGGGAGGAGGGCTGCTGAGTGGGAGGTGTTGGCCAAGGCCCTGCTAACGCTTCCCTATCAAGGGCTTCCTAGTGAGTGGTAAGATATGCAGAGGTGGGGGCAAGGCAGAAAGGTGGGTTGAGACTACGAACAAGGGCAGAGAGGGAAACTCCGCGATGAGAGTAAGGCAGCATTCGTGTAAATCATAGACATCAAATACCCACCACTGCTTGGCTGACACTGACCAGGAGCACCTGGCCCAAGGAGGCCATGAAATCATTCTTGACATTCCAATGGTTCTGCCCCAGTTTCCACAAAACCCTCAGCACAGGACAGGTTAACACCCTAACAGCAGTGCCCACAGGGCCCCAGACCACGCAGGCACCCAGGGAAATTCAACTCAAACAATCTCCAACTGGGCTCCCCAGAAGAGAAGTAGCAGCCTGCGCCCCAAGCTGGAAAGGAGGCTCCCTCCCCAGAGAGAAGGAAAGGATGCAGGACATCCCATAACTAATGAGGTCAGACATGAGGGAGGCCATCATCACAACAGCCTCCACTCCCCTACCTTGAGACTGGAAAGGAAACCCAGTTCTTAAGGGATAAAGCGATTTGCCCAAGGTCACAAGAGAAGCTAACACAGAACCAAGACTAGATTCCTTCTTCTTCCCACCCAGCCCTGAGCTATCCCCTTCTGTGGGAACAGTCACCGCCCCCCGCACACGCCCAAAAAAGTTTTGTCAGTTAAAGCTGGTCACTTCACACAAGTGTTCAACATCAAAGCACAACTGCTTCTAAGCAGCTTCACTGTGAATGACTTTCTCCTGCCCCCAGCACTTCTTCTGGACCATGGGCGGCTGACGGGCCGTGGGGCAGAGCCAAACATCTGTGCGGACTGCGCTGGGGCTCTGGCAAAGAAAACCGGAGGCAGCAGTCACGACGAAGGAGCCATGAGATAGGAATTTAAGAAGTTTTAAAATCTGCCAAACTTGTATTCCTTTTTGCACACATGCACACGTGTGTGCCCATGGCCTTCAGAAGCACAGAGAACCGAGAGCCATTCCAAGTTGCCCCACTCACCGACCCCTTCTCTAGAAAATCATCCTTCACCGAGGACAGGGCACTCCCTTTGTCCCTTCCAGTCTTTGGGGCTCTGGGAGCCTGGGAGGGCTGGCTGGTGTTCCATGGTGGGAGCACGTGGCCAGCCCGCTCCCTGCCCAGTCCACTGCAATCCCTCAAAAGCAGCTGCCTGCCGCCCGATGGCAGCAACCCTCCCTCACTCTCCTTTTCCACACATGCCCTAACTCAGGGGCAGATCTGCAGGCTAACAAACACATCTCCCGGCTTGGGACAAGGGCTCCTCTCCTCTTCCAAAGACTCATTGAAGGAGGGAGAGGAAGTGATCTCTGCCATCCCTCCCAGCCCCCACCTCATGCCCCCAAAACCGGGCATACTGTCTTCTTGTATATTCAAGAAGAATACAAGAAGAAACTTGAAAATCATCCACATTTGTGCCTGTCTTCCACTCAAGGTCACAGCTGTTAAAAATTCTGGCCCCACACCGATTTCTGCAGGTTACCCGGTGGGGGCACTTGCGCCAGGGGAAGGAGGTGGTGGCAAACTTTGCCAGCCACCGAGGAGTAAAGTCTCTCCTGGAAGACAGGCAATTCGGAGCCTCCATTCAGCCACCAAGGAGAGAGAAAGATGAATGAAAGAGTGGGGGGGGCGATTTTTTAAAAACACACTTACCGTTGTGCAGAAAGCAGGGCAATGCAGCACCACGGAGGAAGAGGGGAGACGCTACGGTAAGCCCCGAAGAGGAGAGGTGGCAAAGGAGAGCTAGCTAAAGGCAAGGACTTACCCAGAATATCAGATTGAAGAGGAACATCATGTACTTCAAGCAGCAGAGGCAGCCCCTGGCCATGTTGCACTTCTTAAATTCTAGGAGAAAAACAAAGGACAGGTCCAGGTAAAACACCACGTACTTGCTGCCTTTGGGTGCATTGTACTTGTCAGTCTTGACGCCAGCCTCGGCGCGGCTCTGTCCCCGGGAGCCCGCGGTGCCATAGAAAGCGCCGGCCGTGAAGCCGCGGCCGAACGGGCGGCCCGAGGTGGACGGCTTGGCAAAGTCCGAGTCCTTGCTGTCCAAAGATGGACTCCGGTGGATCGAAGAATCCTCGCTACTCGACTTCTCCATGCTCGCGTCGTTCCCGGGGGGCGCGAGGGGCGGGGGGCATCGCTCCCGGAGTGGGACGGAGGGGGCGCCCAAGTCGGGCACGGGCTGCGGGTGGGCTGGCGTAACCCTGAACGCCCCCTCTCTGCACCGGGGCGCACTCCCGGCCAGACCCCGTGCTCAGGAGCCGCTGCCTCTCGGACGGCGCCCCGCTCCCAGCCGACTGGCCCGGGAGGGCTCTGCGGTGCGGCGCGGCGCGGCGCGGCTCTACGCGCGCTCGCGAACGCTCTCCGGGAACTGGCTGGCCTGCGTAACTTAACGTCTTTGGGGAGGCTGCAATTTGATTTCTCTTTCCAGCGCGTCAGCTCGCCTCCTGGTGCACCGGCCGCTCCACGCGAGGCACAAGGGCGCCAGGATCCAGGTCCCCGGGCACACCTCTCCCTGCCCAGCCCCGGCGCTGAGCCCGGCCACTTTGCGGGCGCTCCGCCTCCTTTCGCTCGGCGACTTTGCGGAGCTGCTCGCCGGCCCTTGGCTGCCCGGGCGCGCGGCGGGCAGTGCTGAGGGATCCGCCGCAGCTGCCACAGCTGGGCTTTCCCTGCGAAATCCCAGCCCCGACTCCCGACTCTGAAATCGCCCGGAGCCCCCTCCCCGGGCCCTCGGCCCCGCCCCCCTGCTTTGCATTCCACCAATGAGCACTGGGCCTGCCAGGGGGCGGGCAGCCTCCCCCTCCCCAATGACACATTATCTTTAATAGGATTAGCGTTCTGCTGTGTGCCTATACCAGTGCGCCGGGAGCCCTCGCTAAATGTCAAGGGCTCTGGAGCTGGGGGTGAACCAGAACCTTCATCAGAAGGCGCTGGTCTCTTCCACGGGAGAAAAGGGGGCGGCGAGAGAAAGGGAATGGCTGGAGATACCAACGACCCAAGGAAACCAGAGGAGAGGGCTGGGGAGGACAGGAGGAGGAAAGAAGCGCGGCCACTGTCGAGCTGGCCGCCGCCCCCTGTGCACACGGGGCCAGTTCGACCCGAGGCACACGGTCCCTCCGCTACACACGCGCGCACACTCACAGACACACACGCACACACGCTTTTGCACACGTGGATCTGGCTACCGCACGCAGGGAAAAGAGACAGCAGGGAAGGCGCGAGGTGTGGGAAAGGCGCTTGGGGCCTCCACGGGGCGCGCGGCGCCTCCCCGCCCCCTCCGCGCGCGCGCGCACGCTCCAGCACACACGCGGCTCCGCGAGACTCCTGCAGCTGCGCGAGCCCCCCCCAACCCCCACCGCCCCCGCGTTCCCGGGTGGGATGCGGTGCTCGCTGGGACCCCAGCTGGGCTGAGAAGAGTAGGTGGCAGAAGTAGTGTCCTGCCTTGCCCCTCTGAATCCTGCCTGTGCCAAGGGTGACGTTGGAGTGCTCTTGGACCCAGGCTGGGTCCTCTCCCGTGAGGACTGCACAAAAGGGGCTGGTCAAGGGAAACAGCACGAAGAATGCTCTTGCTAGGGGCTAGGGAACACCCAGGAGGAGCCCTTTACCCTGCCGTAAAACACTGCACCTGTGTCCCCTGGGCTTGTGCGTAAGTCTGCACAGCTGATCAGGAGCGACCATAGTTGGCAAACAAAGAAAACTAAGAGACTTAGGGGGGGGTGCGGTGAGGAGCCCACGTCTCCTTTCTGCCAGCAGGAAGAGAGTGCTGAGAGCCCCTGAGAGGGGCTTCGTATTTATGAAGCTCAGTACCCCAGCACTCAACACTGGGCTTGGCCTCTAGCAGGCGCTAGACAACGATGGCTGGATAGAAGAATTCCTGCCTTCCCTGGGGAGCAGGAGTGTGATATGTCCAACCTGGATCCCATCAGACATGTATTCCACACCTGCTACGTGCTGAGAGTGGGGCCAGGCCCTTGAGGAGACAGATACAAGGTGTGCTGCTCCCTGCCCTTCAGACACACACAATCTAGTCCAAGGTGGTGAGCAGGGACATAACTGGCTATGGTGGAGGCAGAGAGGGACACTTATTCCCACGAATTGAAGACCCTCATCACAGGTCGGCTGGGGTGGCCCTCTATGGAGTCTGCACCCTCTCTGGCTCAGAGGCAGCAGGGGCTGGCCCTCAGCTTCTTTAAAGGGACCTGCAATGGTGTTACTATTCTAAGCCCCTTCCCCACTTAGAGGGCAGCCCAATAGTGAAACCTAGGGAGTGTCATGGCCATGGCACCTTGGTCTCCTGGTTGGGCACAGCAGCCCTCTGGATGCTATCCACAGATGAGAGGCAGGTGTCTGGCTGGCTCCCGACTGACCCCACTGCCACCTGACTGGAATGGCTGACGCCTTTTGTCCTCTTCAGCCTCGACCGGCTCCCAGGGGCTCCCGGCTGCCACTTCATTCTCATAACATTACTTCTTTGATGCAGGAGAGATCGTTTACCAGCTGGACTGTGAGTCAGGAGACCTGTTTTTCACTCTGAGCTCAATGTTGAGCCGTATGATCAAGGACAAGGTGGTTTGCCTTTCTGAGCTACTATTTCTTCCTCTTTAAAATGGGGATTAATAGAGCCTACCCCCCGGGAGGTGTCGGCAGAATAAAGTGAGCTGGCAGATGCGAGACCAATCTGAGCCCTGTAATCACTGAGCAAGTTCAAGGGCCTGGTGTCACTAGCCTCAGACAGACTCGGTGTCAGCACGGGCCCTCCCAGGTTGGCCCCCTCCTAATGTCTTCCTCTCTCTCTCTCTTTTTTTTCTTTCATCAACTCACACCTTGTTCAGTAAGAATAGCGTCTGCCTTGTCCCTAGATCGTTCCTCCTTCATTCCTGATTATAAGTGGATTCAGGCCAGTAATTATTTCCTCAGCAGTGGAGGCCCTGATGGGCCAGGATGAAAGAGGAGGTAAGAAGAGGAGGCTGCTCAGTATAAGAGTTCTGGTCACTCCTGGCCACCCGTGTTGGGAGGGCATTGAAGGCCTGGTCTTCAGTCCATTAACAAAGTTCAGTGATGTCCCATCAGGGCACCCAGCTTAGTCATCATCAGGATGATAAGAACAACAGAGAATTGCAAGGCCTCATTACATCCCAGGCACCCAGCTTCACACACAGCAACTGAGTCCTCCTGCCAACCCTATAGAATAGTGATGTTATTATTCCCATTTCACAGGTAAGTAAACTGTATGATTTCAAAGCCCATTTCTTCACTCTCCTGGACTCAAAACCTAGTTCCCAACCTTGGGAATCTTCCAGTCTAAAAGACGGAATCTAAAAGCACAACAGAGAATCTGAAATTTCATGTCCTGATGAGAGGTCACAGAGAAAAGGACTTCATAAAAAAGGACCTAAAAAAAAAAAAAAAAAAAAAAAGCCTTCTGCCCCCACTCCAAGACTGTACATAGAGAAGCTCAGAGAAGAACGATACAGCCAGTTCCATGACAGGACCAGCAAAGAGCTGTCCCTTATTACCCCTGGAGTGGGTGTGGCCAGGGAGAGAGGGGTGTAAGGGCACCCCGGAAGGCGTGGGTTTGGTACACTGAGGGGCAGTGAGGAGCCAGGCCTGCCTGGAGCAGGAGAAGGTGCCTGGGAGTCAAAGTGAGCTACTGGGCACAGCCTTGCATGACACAGGAAAAGTCTGGACTTCATCCTGGAGCTTCCCAAGCAGTGGAAGCACATGACAACACCGGTGCCCTAGGAAGCTGGGCCTGCAGCATGGAGAGGTGAGAAGATCAGCCACTGCGGTTGCCCCAGTTTCTGAGATTGTGGGTGCAGAAGTAATGACCAGAGAGCAAAGGCGGCCTGAGTCCGCATGTCTCCTGCCCACCCCTGAGCCTCAGCCACTCGCCATGCTCAGGGGAGCTGGAAGACACAGCCTGCCCTTGAGGATCTCTGAGCATGTGAACAGGGCCAAGCTGCCTTGCCTTTTTTTTTTTTTTTTTTTAAAAAAAAACCCCAAAAAAAAAAAAAAAAAAAAAAAAAAAAAGTGAAGCAAATCCAGAATTCCCAGAGGGGAGAAAGAGAAGTGAATAGGGGAAATCAACATGCAACGTCTCTGCTGACTGGCAACCGGGGACATGTGGGCTCAGAGTAAATGCCAAGCTCTCTCTGCCTCTTCCTGAGTTTCTCAGGCCTGCAGCGTGAGCCAGAACTTTCAGCTTTGGTCTCTCACTCACCCACACGCAATCAGAGCTCATGGGCCCACACAGATCCCCTTCCTGACCTGCACTGAATATTTCTGTGATCGGCAGCATGCATGGCTCATGGGGTATCCTGTACCTCTAAGCTTCAAACGGGGCAGCCTTGCGGAGAATTTAGGTTAGACACGAGGTGGCACTTGCTATCCTAAGGAACATGTGAGATGGACCACCGCTGTAGGAGAAGGGAGTCTTAGCCCATCCCAGTTTTTAAACTCCAAAATTGGGATCTTTTTCAGCAATACAGAAAATGCTTTAATTGCTAAACAAACAATTTACCAATGGTGTCAAAAGAGAAGAATGTCCCTAAGCAGGGGGCCCATATCCCACAATGTGTGCATGAAGGCTCAGGAGGCAAGGAAAGGTTAGGAGGGTCCTGAGGCCAGAGCAAGGCTCTATGCCAGGGAAATTAAATAGCTACAAGGTCATGCGTTCCCATACTTGGCCAGGATTCAGGGAGGACAGTAACAATGCCAGTGAAAAGATCAGAGTAAAAAAAGAACTAGGGGTAGTTTTATTTTTTTTTTTATGTGTTTAATTTCTGAGACTCGTAAGGAAAACACACAAGCAAAGAGGGTTTGGCTGCAGAGGAAGGGTCTACCGTTAGAATGGCTCAGGACAGCATACCAAGGGTGACCTGGTACTTCGTTCTCTGGGGAGAGGTTTGCTCATCCTCCCTCCTGAGTCCCCAGATGTTTGTTCAGTCTGCAATTATAGTTTGCCCACATGCCTCTGCTCTGGCCACTGGGCTTCCTGAAGGAGGGAGGGGCTGTGTCTGAATCACCTCGTCCCTGCACCACCCCCAACCTCCCACCACCCGGGGGCCTATCACAGGAACCACCACGGGATTGGTACTC